TTTTTTGGGACAGAATCCCTCAAACACTAATGAATCAGGTCATTTTCAGTGCATATTATTATACATTTGTAATCAATTCATTGATTACACTCGGCCATTTTATTTCATTAACTATTGATCACTACATTAGAAATGAATGTTTAAAGGGCGACAGTCGTCACGCCGCGTCCTGTTCGATATGGGACTCATAGCGACGTATACAACGCATGTAAAATACATTGTTTATTTACATGAAATTTGAACACGCGCTGCGGGACGACCACCACGCTTTAATCATATACAAAATATGTAATTCTGTATTTTTATCAGTGCTTATTATAGCATAGCATATTATAGCATAGTCCAATCATGGCAACATCTGGAGAAGACAAGTACACAAATATACATACACATGGAATGTACAGACTTAGGATCATGATAGATTGAACAAGATTTTTTTTAAATAAAAGGTCATTTGATTTCATTTAAAAGGTTATGAATATGTGCGAGTATGATTTTTATTTTTAACTGACATTTATGGATACGTGGGAGTACCCTGTATAATAGTTTCATTCCTTGCAGTTTGTGTTGCAATTTCATTTCCATGTGTACTATTGGCTCTGAACAGAAGCATACACACCACCGAAAATTGCTTACTGTGAAAGAGACCCACCCAGCAGTATTGCAATATAGCAAAAACATTATTGATTAATGTAGCATTATTGATGTTAGCTTACCATAAATTGTTGCATTAGAACCCTCAATATTGCGAGTTTGTTAACAAAACAGTTCATTATATATTACAATACTACAGATAAGCTGCTTTTTTGTTGACAGTATTCAGTGTTGGCTGCTTCATTGAAATACAAATTATTTTGACCATAGACACAATATGAAATTCAAAATACAAAATACAAATCTAGACGGATCATTTCCCTAGTGTGTTATTCAATTACATATGCCTTATGTAGTTTATGTATCTATAAGTCATTAACTTTACAATGAACAGTACACAGTGGTTCAGTTTCAGTGCAAGAGATACCTGTTAATGCAACTACAATGACTTCCATACTACAGGTTGTTCAAGTCGCGTTTAATTTGACACATATTTGATGAGCACTTTCTGTCACCACCATATTGTTCCTAACACCAAGATTGCCAGCTAAGTTGCTGACTGGTTTGCAATGCACACCTGGAGATCATTACGTTACCAACTTCAAGAGGAGAATTCAAACATGTTTAATATAAACAGATCACGATGCAATTGCCTTTCAATTTATTTCATTTAGTCATATATATTTCTATATAATACATGGCAAGTTATCCAAACAAAATGTGTATACTGACAGAGTATGAAATGTCAGAACACAGATGATGGTTTTTCTGGTGCATAAGGCTCATGAACGAGTGCATTTAGCGGAACACACCCTCTCCAGAAGAGGTTTGAACTAATTTAGTCTAAACATAAAACAATCTTCAGATGCACATAACAAACCAGTCAGCAAGTTAGCTGGTAATGTTACCGTTTTGGTGTTTGGAACAATATGACGGAGACAGTAAAGCGATACAGTTGCTTACGTGTTTAATATGGGACCCATAGCAATGTATTTGAGTGTAAAATACATTGTACATTTACATGAAATTCAAACTCACAATGACTGTAGCCACTTCAATAAAACAAAACACCAGTTAAAAACATTTCGAGTCAATTGCTTTGATTCTAATGTTAATGAATTCTATTACTAGTATTTTAATTCCACTTCATATCCAACATGTGAAGGGAGCTTGGCAATTTAACATATTGACATTTTTTGAGAACATTTTCAGATATGTGTTAGTTTTTTTGAAGGTGTAAAAGTGGCGAAATTTATCTGATGTCCAGCCCAATTTCCTTTTATATCCAAATATGTGTCGATAAATGCAAACGTGTACTAAAACGTGTGAATTGCAGTCTCGATTGACCCCCCCCCCCCGTTCTCCGTCTGTATGGAAAGCTTTAACGAATATGTTG